ATTCTATATTACTTTTTTTTTTTTTTTTTTTCTGTTTACATAACATTTGTCTAACCTGGATAACTACCCTCATTTATTTCCCACTTCTACGATCAGACTACCATCTTTGATCATCCAGAGAGCTTCTCTGGTAAGAAAATAAATTTGGTGTCTATTAACACTGTCTGGGTTATGTGCTGCAGTAGAAAACATATGAAACAATTAATTTGCACAGAAATCTGTGATAGTTAATGTTACGTTTCGCTAGTTTTGAAAGGATGATTTAGAAATAAGAGACTCCAACATACTCTCCATCATCTTCATATACACGTTCTAATACATCCACGTTGGAAATTCTGAATTTCTAATTTTGAAAATACTAAAATATGATATGCAACGTCTAAGCCCTCTAAATAAAGGTTTACAGTTTTGCTCTATGAAAAACTTGATGCAAATGACGACAATTAAAAAATGGTCTTAAGTGATAGATTATAACAATTAGCATCATGTTCACAACGCTGAAGACTGCTTGCGTAACTTCAATTCCCTAAGGCAGTAACATACAGCGACAACTGTTATTAAATAGGCTCTCTCCAAATTCTTTCTTTACCATGAATTTGATGTTTTGGTGTTTGGTTTCATAAAGTTTTTAGCAGGCAGTACTATACATTGCAAAACATGTTTTGGGAACACTTGCATCATATCATACTAATCATTACAAAGGAGGCGTAGATGTGTGTTCGTCGAAATGAGACAGAAATCACTGATTTGATGAAACTGGAAAAAAAAGATTTTGTTCAAGTTTGATCAAAAAGAGAAAATATTGTAAATTGAAGATGCAAAAGTCATATGGGCATAATCATCTCTGACTTTCTATCTTTAAACCAGGAATGGGTTCAGCCAAAGGAATACAAAATATGTTTTGACAACTTTACCACTACATGGTACAAACTGAGTATTGTTAGTGCAGAAACTAGCGGATTATTTAAAATAATTGCAGAGATACACACTGATGATTCAACTCCATCAGACTTCATACGCTCTATTTCTTATTTTCATTGCATTCCTACTATTTTGTAAGACTACTCATGTGGCAAGGAGTATTTTTGTGGTCTTATAAATGATCTGAACTGATAGATCTAACATCAAAAAACAAATCGTATACAAGTATTTCATAGAATCATAGAATCATAGAAAGGCATAGGCTGGAAGGGACCTCAGAGATCATCTAATCCAATCTCCCTGTCATGGGCAGGGACACCTCTCAACTAGACCAGGCTACTCAAGGCGCCGTCCAACCTGGCCTTGAACACCTCCAGGGAGGGGGCATCCACAACTTCTCTGGGCAATTTATTCCAAAGTCTTACCATCCTCGTACTGAAGAATTTCTTCCTAAGATCTAATCTAAATCTGTTCTCCTTCAACTTAAACCCATTTCCCCTTGTCCTATCAGTGGACACTCTTGTAAAAAATCCCTCCCCAGCCTTTGTGTAAGTTCCCTTCAAGTATTGAAAGGCATCTATTGGGTCCCCCCGAAGTCTTCTCTTTTCAAGGCTGAACAATCCCAGCTCCTGCGACCTGTCCTTGTAGCAGAGGTGCTCCAGCCCCTGGATCATCTTTGTGGCCCTTCTCTGAACATGTTCCAACAAATCTATGTCTCTCTTATGGTGGGGACACCAGAATTGGACACAGTATTCGAGGTGGGGTCTCACAAGAGCAGAGTAGAGGGGGAGAATCACCTCTCTTGACCTGCTAACCACGCTTCTCTTGATACATCCCAGGATGCGGTTGGCCTTCTGGGCCGCATGAGCACACACCCCCATAGAAACACCCCCCATTTTCATAGAAAGAAACCAGCATGAGTATAGCGTCACGCAATGTTTGGAAAAAATATACTTAGTATTCTGCCAGCAGTTTTTTCAAAGAGGACTTTAAAGCAGCACTACCTTATAGGACTGGAAGACGCGTCAGGGTCATGGGCAGTCACCTGACCAATCACAGAGTTAATAGCAGCATTTTCATGCACTTCCAGTAGGTAAGTAGGTGATGAAAAGATTGGTGGCTCATCAGCATCCTCTACTACAATTTTTACTGTTGCTGTATCCTTGAATGGTCCTCCACTGATGAAGCGAGGATCAATATGAACGTTGGCTGCTTCTACCTTCAAAGTATAGGATTTTTTGGTCTCAAAGTCCAGTGGCTGTTAGGAATAACAAAGATAAACGTATTTTACTAATAGCCACAGAGAAAGAACACATGGACATAATGCTGATGGATGAAAGTTATGTGCGTTTAAGCACATTCAGTGAGTTTTAATACAATCACTTCCCACTCCCAGATCCAACCTGCAAATTTTCTAGGCACATATTGGCATATTGGTTTATTAACCAGCCTCAGAGAAAAAAAGACGTTGTTTTTTGCTTTTCACAAGAAATTTACCAAAACATTCTCTCTCTTGAATTACACCGTTGCAATTACATATCAGATAAACACTACAAATTTCTTGGTGATGACATGACTTGCGTACTAATCATGCACTTAATCAGTGATTTGTTAGCTGGAGATAAGAAAAAAAATTACACAAAGAATAAATATTTTATTACTTCCAGAACAATACGAGAAATACAAAGAACCAGTAATTATTATTTGTTGGACATGAGTGGCATTATGTGGAAAAATGTAGAGCTAAACATATAAGAAAGTACTTGAATATTATTGCACTTCAGGTAACTCTGCATTTCTGTTTATGGGGGTAAATGAGGTAGACATCTCTCAGGAATTTCTTAAAACTGTAGCAATTTCTATTTCTGTATCTTTTTTTTTTTTTTTTCAGAGAGAGAAACACAAAACCTATTACTTTATTCTATCAACATACCTGCCATGCCACCATTGTTTTTACTATTTTACAGTTCCATTTTAAAACATGAAAGATGAAAACACAGGGGATTTAAAGGAATGAAATACCAAATAAAAACCAAATCTGTGACACTCTTGAATATTAGAATTTTTCATTATAGGAGATTCAAGTTTGTGTCTTGAAGCACATCAGTATATTCACTATATAATTCTCTTGTGTCTCACAATGATTCAAATTTCAAAGATGCAAATTGCCAAGCATTGGAAAGATATTAAGATTTGCATTACAATGTCCCAGGGATAAAAAGAAAAGGACATAGAAACTCTGAATCTGCAATGCAAATACCAGCAAGAGCACAAACAAGGACCTTCAGGAAGTCTGTCAAAGCCTTCAATATGTATACTTTCAAATTTTGTTGATTTTTTTCAGGTATGAATCAAGCTCTAATGGGATTTGCTTTTTCTCAGAAACTCTAGTAAACAAGAGAAAACCTTGCTTCTTTAGCAGCTCTTAAATTAGTAAGCTTTTGTAATTATGAATGGTGATTTATAAATCAGCATATTCACAATTTGCCAATCATAGCTCCCATATAATTTTTTCAATGGCTTTTCATACGCTTTACAGAAACGACAGCTCCCCAATACATTTAGTCATGCTTAATCAGAATATCATATTGAAAATTTACTCTGCATTGTCTAAAGCCCATGAATTTATACTGGAGAAAATCTGTTGGTGAATAGTACCCTCCATACATCATCTACTGTAGTAGAACCAAAATGATTATTGCTGTCAAAATGAATATATGAAACAACATTATGTTAGAGACTCAGTTATGAAATAAAGCCAAGGGAACTGGGGCAAAAGGCTAATTGCCTTAGTTTACAAAAGAGGCCACAGCATACAATAAATAACAGTAAGGAAGATCAGGGATGTATATCATAATTTTCTCTTTAGGAAAACAGATCTGAATTTAGATAAATATACATCATTTTATTATGCATCTACAGTGCTGACCTACTCACTGAGAAACAGAACATATAAACTTTTGACAGGTACTTTGCCTGACCTCTCTCATTACAGGTGCAAGTTGAATATTAATTACCTGTACTCATTGGATCTTTCTTTTCTCATTGGAATGTCAGTTTTGGGTTTTTTTAAGTGGGTATTGGTTTTTGGTTTGGTTTGGATTTCTTTAAACAAAGATTGATTTAGAGTGCTCTATGCTACGTATTTAAAAGCCTCTATGCCAGTGTTGTAAGTCATATTCATATCCTTTTTCAGAACACAGTATGAGAATCGACTCTCCTCTTCCCCAGAAAATAATGAAAATTAAGTCTGCAATTAATGTTTGATTGACTGTACTAGCCAAGTTTTGTTCTAGATATGTTGTCTCTCCCCATATTTCTGTATATAATGAGGTGTCCTTCTGCTGTCTACATGCAAATACCTCATCTTGCATGCATCAAGACTGTACAAGCATGGAAAAAGTCACAGATTTGTAGCCTTCTTTAGGGCCTGAATTTGGCACTTCTCATGTGAAACAGTACTGAGGTCCTTAATAAAGCTCACTGAAACCACTATTCACTGAGTAGAGTCCAACATGAGAAAAGATGGATGATTAAGCCTCTCATACATTAGGTAATTTAAATAATATGCTCTGATATTTTTTTTTCTTCTGAACAGTATTTGACCAGCTATACAGCACATGAAATAATAGAGAAAGTTATTTGATGAATACTCAGCCAAGATTTTATGGACGTTTACACCACTGACAAAGCAAATTCTGTAGATAAAGAGAGCAAAACCTGTATGATTTGACCACATGGAAGCCCAGATAAGATTAACACATGCCCAGCACAGAAAATACTTCCATGGATGTCTCCCCAGTTGTCACCTGAACGACAATTTTGAAGGACATGGCTAATACATCCCTCTTTTATCACCTCACTGCCTTGGCACCTCATCCATAGAAAAAAGAATCCTTGGAAATCCAGCATCTTCTCACAGAGTACAGTCTGGCTGGGAAGTTGTATGTACAAGAAACATTTTTTTTAAACAGAGATATCATTTACCTTTCTCACTCTAATAATGCCGTCCTGAGTTTGGGCATCTGTAGTAATTTCAAATATATCCATTCCATCTCCTTCAATAATATCATAGGATGATTTAGCATTTTCTCCAATATCCAGGTCATTTGCTTTCACCCTTCCTATTGGTTCACCAAGAGCAACATCTTCCATTACTGAGAAGTGATACAGACCTTACAAATAAGAGGAAAAGACTAAACATTACACTTGATTACAGCATCTCTTTTGTGCTCTTTGTTGATATTCCCCCAATTCAAACTCAGGATGTGCAACTGATACAAACCACATTTACACAAGTTATTTACTGAAAGCAGCAAAACATGTTCCTTATACAGGAATTTCACTGTCTACTCTATGTGAATGTTCTTTTCATTATGGTAGTAACCCACTTCTTCCTTGCAGGGGCATTTAGTGTTGGCAAATAGAAATTTTAAGCTACTTTTAACACTGAAAGTATACTGCAGACACTGTTGAACTCACAGTTTTATTTACAGACACATAGTTACATTTTTTTATAGAATTTAACTATGAAACTTTGGCTTTTACTCTGTAGAAAACTGGTCTAATACTTTAAAGATGTCTTATGCAATTTCAGATCTTTATTACTTTTTTGAACCTTTTAATTTGATTCAGTTTTGGTTTTTTTTTATCCCTTCCACCTCCTTTTTGCGGTAAGAAATCAATTAAGAAACATTCCAGAAAACTCTCAAAATTTACATTTTAAAGGAAACAATAACTTTTCATAATGATCATTACTGTATTTACTATTTGGTTGTAGGGTTAGACTAAAATCCACTAGAGAGAGCTATTCAATTTGTCAGCATTTTTGTATTTTGTAATACTTGCTTCAAACCTTCTGACCTAAGAAAAAAATCTATTTGGAACTTCTAATGTATTACTACAGGTAAGCATTTTCTTAAAAGAAAAATAATAAAAAAAACATTTTACTATTTTATCTCCCAATTCTTAACAGTACTCTGAAAAACAGAAGATGCATGCATTACATCAAAAATTATGGGATGCCTATCTTTTTACATCTTGGTAATTTACACTTATCGAACTAATCAACTGCAGTGCTACTTAGCAACTGAAATAGTCAAAAGGGATTCAAGGTTAACAGATGAGACCATTAAAACAGTTTTTGACAAAGGGTTCCGAACTTGTTGTTTGCTGTCCTCACAATTGTTCTAAGACAACGTGCGATTTTTACTGTTACTTGCAGCTAGTAGTACTCTAAAACCAAAATGTTCTGGAGTCGTTGCTTTAACGCCTCATAGACTGATTGCAGTCACGATAGTCAAAAGCAGGAAGGAAACTGCTAGGAATTCACAAATACGTATATTAACTATACCTATAGCCTGTCCCAAAGTCAACTTCTTTTTTCTTTAATGTTTCTGGGCTAAATTATTAGAGATAATTTGGAGATCATCAAGATTCCTCAAAGAATATTTATAATGGCTCGCAAACAATGAGCAGCCAAAGCAATCAAGTACCTTGGGAGACTAAATTATATTTTCATAATTTATACTGCTGTCCACACTTTGTGGTTTGAATCTCCAGACACAGTTGATTGCATTTTTAAGTTGGTATTTTCTCTCAGGTTTATTAAGATAGTTTACAAAATATTGTAAGAAAAATTTATTATGATGCAGCTGACTCTTTCATACAAATTGCTCTTAAGAATTATGAATTGTCCTGCCAAGATGTCATAGTGCAGAGCTGCCCAAAAATCCACGTCGCATATCTTTGAAAACCTTTGCTTTTCACAGCAGTGCCAGTTCTCAGCACAATCGTATGGTAAACTGCCAGGTTAGAAACTTCTGTGACTTATAAAGTGCCTCTAAAATTATTTGAAAGAGATCATAGAAGTAGTGAAAGTTCATCTTTTTCATTTCTAAAACCCAGGAGGCTAACGCTCTTTGAAATCAAACCATAAATATACATTTCTGTCCTGCCTGGAAACAATAAACCGATAAAACACACTGCTTTCTGAGTTCATTACAATTTATTGTGAAAGCAGCATGTATTACATCTCATGAATTTCTATTTCATTTTGCTTAGGCTCTATTGTAAGTTTGATCCTTTCTTATTTCCTTTCCAGACAAATTCAAACTGTGCTTCAACAGTGTAAAAAAAAATTTAAAGCCTTGATCAGCTCTTGTATAAGGCCAAAGTCATGACTAACCCGTAATGCGAGGCAGCATGCTATGAATGCTTACTTTTAAAAGGCAGAATTTGTGATAACACGCAGTTACAATATTTACTATGGCTCATCCTCACTAAATGCAATACACACATAATACAAAGTTATAGTACCTGCAGGTTTTTTCTGATGAAGTTGCCTAACAGTCAGTGTTACAACAGGGTGGTTATTCCTAGATGGTAACTTGAGTCCTGCGCTGGAATGCACTAACTGTAACAGCTTCAAAGACAGCAACTCACTCTTTGTTGAAGGAAAACTAATCTACATTTTCCACATATAACAAACATATATTTCAGGGATCTGTGGTGCAGTCTTCCTCGTGCTACTTAGTCAATCCATCACTGTATCCAAACTACAGGAGAACAGATACGAGTAAACTGCACAGGGAAAGTACAGTTTCATCTTCGTACGCGTTCGCTCCTGTGCTTCCTGCGGAGACCTCCAGCAAACGTACCAATTACTACCAGTTGTGTTGCTGATTTGCTGATCAGCTTTATTCACACTGGCAGGCAAAGGCCTTTTGAGACAGAAAGTGCTGATACAAACACAAAAGCCAGGTAAGCTGGTAAAAGTGAATCTGTAGTCACAGAGTTAGAGCTACAGTACACTGCAGGTATGAAAGGAATGTCCCTCTGTATTCTGGCAATACAGTTAAGCCAGGAGTTTCACCTATAGATGTTTACATTATATAGGAAAATTGTCATCATATGCTGGAAAACTGCTATGCAAGTGCAAGCAATGCAATGTGATACGAATTAAAAAACTGATGTATTTCTTAGTTTATAATGAGAAAACCTTTTATTGTGCAGAGTGCTTATCTGTTAGAAACCAATAAGATGAGGTAATAAAATATATAATTTTGCAATTAAGCTGTTATCTCTGCTCATTTATTTTATATTTTTCCTCTCTATCTATCTGCTTGTGCATTTCCTAGACTACAGGAGAGTATTTATCACATGTTGAGTACTAGGACAAATCCATTTCACCCTTTGTATCTTTAGAACAGGGTAAAAGTGGATTTCAAATCATACATGTGGAAAGGAATTTTACATTGAGTGCATAAGTACCTCGTTAGAAAAAACATACTTCTAATAAAGTAAAAATGATACAAAGTCTAGATGTAAATATTCTCCAATCCCCAAAAATATTTTTAATACCTTACAAATTTAGTTTTTCAGAACAAGCTGGATAAAAAGATAAGTTTCAAATAGTGGATTAGATTGCATCTGTTCCAAATAAAATCGATCCAGTCATTATGCTCTTCCCTCTTCTTTTTGCTTTTTGTCTTCATCTTTGAAATAGACTACAAAGCTTGTAGAGAATCTCAGCAGGATGCCAAATCATTTTAACCTAGCCCAGCAAGACATCCATTGGAACCACAGTAGTAAATATAGATTCTGAATTAAAGATCAAAATTATCTAGGCTCAGACTTATTTTCTTTGTTTTCTTCACTATTATCTAATTAGTCAAACCTTTATTTCTTTTTTCAGTTATATATGTCTTTTACTGGTGGTGTCACTTGTCTGCATGAGATGGAAGCACATATAACAGCAACTAAAACTAGCACTTAGAAACAACTGCACCCAAAGCAAATAAATATATGAAAAAGAAGCCCCCAAGCCCTTTTGAGTGGATGTAAAAAGGGTAGCAAGGAAGACAGAGAGCTGTGTACACTGTTGCAGATGTAATTCCCTCTTTCTTAAGCTCTTAATCAGGCAGATGACTATTAATCTTTCTCTAGTAGCAGCTACGTATTTTGAAATTACATTACAAAGCCAGGGGATATGATGATAGAAAAAGAGAGTGATAAAAAAACACCAAAACCAAACAACAACAACAAACCACTATATCACTTTCTTAGATAGGAGAACACACACACTTTGTACACATACATACTTACTCTGTGCAAACTTAGGAGGATTGTCATTAACATCAGTGAGTGTAATTGTCACTGTTGTAGTTCCAGACAGTCCACCCATATGTCCTCCCATGTCCTTTGCTTGGATGACCACAAAGTATTCTTCTTTGGCTTCTCTGTCCATGTTGGGAAGAGCTGTTTTAATTATAGCTACAAAAATGGGGGGCAAAAAAAGTCAAGTACAGTCCCAAATTCAGTTTTGCAGCTATTTTATGGATACATGTAAATATTGGTATAAAAATTGAACTGCTGAAGGTCCAGTTAAGTTGCCTTTTAGCACCAAGGATGAAGAAGAATTTGAGATTTTCAAAAAACTACATTAAGGGTCACCTACCTTGATTTAATTAAAAGTGCAACGAAATTGTGGTCCAAAACCCAAGAATTAACCATACATGTGATGCATATTAATTTTTACATATTTTTATTCTGATAAACTCCTTGTTTTCTTTCCTACCTCCCATAGAAATCCATCATTTCCCCACAGAATTCACAAACAAAAGACAACCACGTAGTAAACTTAATCTGTAAATACTGTTAACTGTATCTACCAGATTAATTGCTTCAAATATTTTAAAACCAAAACCATTATTTAATTTGCTTTGGTATATAAGGCAGGCTACAGTTGTTCCCTTAAGTCGTAAATTGAGTGCCTAAACTTCTACTGGAGAATGACAGCATAAGTATGTCTTTCAGCTTAGCTACCAGCCTAAATTCACTCCACTGTCCCTACTCCAGGGGGGTCACTCGTAGGACAAGGGTCTCAGTAAGCTGCTATCATCTACTTTACTAGGTTAGAAGTTTTGAAAGAGAAGTAAACAGATCCGTAGTATATCAAAATACAAAATGTGAGTGAGCTAGCAGGAAGATATCTGCAAGGGACGGACCAACTGAATATGGGGCCAGATCCACTGCAAACTCCTATAGATTTCATTGACATCTAACAGAAGAAATAATAAAACCTTTTTTCTTTCCAAAACTTCTCCACCTGTAATGTGCTATTATATTCACAACATTCAGTATGGCAAGTGCCATACTAAATGTTTAAAGGTAAATTTAAAAGGTGTTCACCACAGTCTAGTAGTATCCACCATAATAATAGGAGAACAATCAACTAAAGAATCCCCACTAAATCTAGGGGAAACTACTCTAAATGTTAAATCATAGAATCATAGAATGGCATAGGCTGGAAGGGACCTCAGAGATCATCTAATCCAACCTCCCTGTCATGGGCAGGGATGCCTCTCAACTAGACCAGGGCTTTTTTTTTTCTTTTAATCCTGATTCTGAATTCTATTTTAGTTTTAAATCATTTATCTGTGAAAAGAGAGCACCAAGTTCAAGTTACTGAATTATCTCAGTGGTTGAGTAAAGTGTAAGAGTGCCAAGGAGAACTGAATCCATCATTGCGGTGGTTCCTTTACACCATGGTATTTGAGGGTTCTTATGAGGCATAAAGAAGAGTGTCTCTTTTCATGGGCCTGTACTTACAGAGCTGAAGGACACAGTTTATGGGCAGTCATTGACAGTAATTCACCACGTCTTTGGAATTCATTAGAAAAAGAATGCAAGAATTCTGTATTTTACTGTATATTTGTTAAGATTTGCATGTTGAATACAGTGGCCAAGTTCACAAGTTCACACCCGGGATCAAAAATATCCATTACTAGTCCTGATCATACATTTCTTTAACTCTCACACAGTTGTGGGGTTTTTTTTCACCTGCTTTTTGTTAAGTATTGACAGGAGTTTTTAGATGCCAATCAATAATTATTGTGAATCTGTTGGTTTTGATTTCTCTATTGGGACTAGCATAGCTGTGGAGACTTCATAGAACTCTTTCTTTCAGGTGGGATAGTTTCTATTAAATAAGCATCTTAGAAATGACACTGGCTGAAACGCCAAGATTACTGATTTATGTATTTATAGTGAATAAAGAAATGTTTCTGGTCTTTATCATAAAGAGAGACGCATTTTGGTAAATTTTAGAATCCATTTGTCTTTAATATTATAATACTAAGAATGTGATCAGATCTTTTTTTCTTGGCAGAGTACAGGCCCAAGTGAAGAGCAAGGGAGTGTAAGGCATTTAAAATAAAGCAATATGTTTGCTACATAAACCACCAAACATATCCTAATAGCAGTCTTGTAACCTACACTTTTGTAAATGATTTCCATAAAATATTTTGGGTTGTTGTCTTACATATTTTATAAACATAATTCTGGATGAAAATGAAACTTCTATCCTATGTCTGTAACTGCCAAGCCAGAGTAATTTGTGTCCCCAAGGAACTTGATATGCAATCAGTGATTTTTCATTCCAGGATGGGGTAAGTGGGGTTAGGAACAGCGAGGCCAACTGCACTGCAGTTAAAGGTGAGTTGGGAGCAGAGTGTGGAAACAAGGCAGGCAGGAGCAGCAACCTCACCAACAAGGAGCCAGGCTGCAGAGCGGCAAGTCAGGGTCCCACGCAAATCCAGAGACGGTGGTCAGGCTAAGCCACAGTCTGATGATCATCCAGCAAGTCCACAGCAACAAGGCACCACAGCCAGGCCAGGAAACCCAGCCGGAGGGTCTGGAGCTGGGTCAGAACCCAGAAAACACGAGCCCGGGTGCAGATGTAGCACAGCCAGGGGCTGGCAGCAGAGCCCCAGCTGAAAAGCAGCTTTCTCCCAAGGAAAAGGAGAGGCAGCCTCTGCACGAAGCGCTCTTCACAGCAGCTCGTACGAGCAAAGGAGCTGACCTTGCACGCAGCCAGCTACGCTTCTAAACTTAAACTCCTTGAAGGAGGTTGTGCTCAGGACCCTGACAAATACAAAGTAATCCAGTGCTTATGAAACCAATGCAGCAGCCTTGAAGTACAACATCCATGTAATTTAACTATTCTACACCATCTGGGGAGGGCACATAAGCTATTCAGCAAAACATTGAAGAATATGCTTGTTAAATTTTTTGAATGAAAACAGAGAACAGTAAAACACAGAAGATAATAATAAGCATTTATCAGATGTGATAGGTGCAAAATACATTCAGTAAACGAGTAGGGCCATTTCCTCCATAGCAGCCTGTGTAAGGATAGTAAATGATATTTATTTTAAAAGTATTTGACATTTGTGACTGGTTTGGACTGACTGGTTTACTATTTAGGAATAATAATGATGCATTCTGCAAATAACTCTATTGTTATAAATGAGACTACTCATAAAAAGGATGCTAATGCAAACATAGGCTATCAGAATTTGGTCCACATTAATTTTTTTCAATAGTAGAGCTGATCCAAAGGTCAGTGAAACCTTATTTCAATGGTTTTTGTATTAAGCCTACTACAACTTTTTCTCTATTATTATTCTCTAGGCAGAGTTTCCCTTATTTTTTTTATTATTTTTTTTAAAAAACTAATTTACATACTTAAATCTAGCCTGCAGATGACTTGTAGAAGATGCCACATTTTGTATTCTGCAGTTTCCTCTGAGACAAGTTAATTACTTCAATAAGGTGATGAGTTTTCCTAGATATGTATTTTAATTTGTTTCTTAATGTATAGAACAATCTATTCCTTGTCTATGGTTTGAGAGACAGCAGAAAGTTTAAATACCTTAAAAAGTGCCTAAATCAGAATTACAGTTTCTGACTTTTAAGACATAAAAATAGGTTTTTTTTTCTGTATAAAGATACTAACACAACCTGTTATTTCAATCGTTTTATATATATCTCAATCTGATATCTCAGCCCATAAACCATTTGCCAGAAGCTAAGAGTCAAAGACAAAGTCAAGTTTCAATTTCAAAGACAATAAAAAGCTAAAAAGAAGTCTACTGCTTGAATTACTATAAGAAGAGCTGAAGGTTTTTAAACATCAAATATATATAAATTACACAGGCTGATTGTTACCACTGGTATTTCTATATTCAGAATCTACAGAACGGAAGTCAGCAAGAGAGAAGTGTCGGTATCTCTTACGAGACAAATTAATAAATACAAAAAGGCTCCATCCTCACCTAAGTAATGTGATTGAGATAAAGACAGACTAAGAGAGTTATGCATAGAGAAATTCAAAGATATTTATTTGTTCTTTTGCTTTCTTCACCAGTTCTCAGTCTGGGATCACAGGAAGTACTGAGATACTTCCAATCTATTTTTAGAAAAAAATTCAGGCACACCAAATACTAATAGGCATACAGCACACAGAACATTAACTCATTGAGCTTTCAACCTGCTCTACTTCAATTCGACCTAGAAACAAATCGAGAATAAAAACATAATCACTTTCAGCATGCTATGATAGATGAAAATGATATGTGCCAAACAGGAGAGCAGTTTAAAAGCGAGGGATGAGAATTACCGTAAACTAATGTAAGGCAGGTGGACGCTTGCTGGAAGACTGTATTCAGAACAGTTATCAATGGCTTACTGTCAAAGTGGATAGATGGATGTAGTGGTTCATAGGGTTTATTCTGCTTCTAGCATCATCTAATATTTCCTGAACAATGGAAGACAGGAACAACTTACTAAGTCTTTCAGATGACACAAAGTTGGGAGCCATTGCAAGTACTGGAAGAACAGGATTAGAGTTCAAACCAATTTTGACAAATTGGATAGTCTAAAAAAGCAGGATGCAACCCAGTTTGGCAAGTAAAAAGTATTTTGTGTGGGTGAAACAATTAGCTTCACAAGTACAACAGAGCAGATGACTCAGAAGACAGAAAAGAATGTGGAGTCAAAATGAGCTGAATATGAGTCAACAGTGCTTTGCTGATAAAAATGCTCAAACGTTTCCTGGTATATTAGCTAGTATGTTATATGGCAGAACTGTGGAATGATCCTTCGAGGCCATTCATACTGGTAAGGCTGCACCTGGAATGGTGTGTCCAGTTTTGAAAAAAAATTGTTTACATAGTTAGGGAAGTATGAGGAAAGACTTCACAACCAAATATGTAAAAACTTAGTGGGAGATGCTCTCCTTTTCCACCAGGGATACAAGAAGGAATGATGGGTCTAAAATATAAACCAAAAAATGGGTTTAAACTGCAGCAAGAGAGATTTCAGTAAAACATTAGGGAAACACTTTCTAGAAGAGAGGTAAGTACAGAGAGAAGGCTGCCTCTACAATTTGTAATATTTCCATTACTGAAAGTTTTTAAGAACCTATCAGA